GCAAAAGTTTTTGGGGAAAGGTTTGGTGGTGGTGGTGGTGCTAAGTGCTGTTGAGGCAGTTCCGACTCATAACAACCCTGTGTAGGGTTTACAAGGCTGTAGTTCTTTGCAGGAGCAGAAAGCCTCATCTTTCTCCAACCTTGTGGTTCGCAGTCCAGTGTTTATTAAGATGTCAGTACAACTTTCAGAAGTGTGTTGAACTAGATGTAGGATACATTGAAAAACAGTAGCTTCCCATTAAGATACGATACTGCCCCATTATATTTTTGTTTAATAAAGCATTCTGTGATTTTATAGCAATATGTTTTGACTTTCCTCATATTTTGGGAAAGTAGTCCTGGTAAAAAGGTGCTTGGTGGCTAAACCTAAAGGTCAGCGGTTGAAACACAATCAGCTGCTCCATAGTAGAAAAGACCTGATTATCTGCTTCCAGGAACATTTCAGCTATGGAAACCCTATGGGACAGTTTTACTCTCTCCTGTATGTATGATCACTGTAAGTCTGAATCACCTCATTGGCACACAACAGCAGCAACCTATTTTGGAATGACTGGAAAAATGTAACTTGTTCTGCATGAATGTCTGACTACTCTCAGACTGTGAGAAGTATTTATGGGGGTGCTCAGTCTCAAGGTCACCACTGCTTAGCGTCTTTCATTCTCCGTGTGCTGGAGTAGTAGATTAACAGTAGTCCTGGTCTGTCACTGTCTTCTAGTTCATTCTGGTTTCACTTTCCCTGTCCTTTTCTTTTATCCCAGTGCATCATTCGTTTCACACACACTTAAATGACATCAGAAACATTTTTCTGTTTGACCATTATGATTCTATTGCCATCCACCAAAGGGGAGTAAAGCAATTCAGAAAGTAGGAGATTCTAGAGAATTTTAACACAACTGTCAAAAACTTTTAGAAACATGCTAGCTAATGCTAACTGAATGTAAATTTTATCAGTTTTTGTTAAAGGCAATACTGCCCCCTGGTGTCCAGAAGCCAATCCCAAATCCTATAATTTACTGCTACAGTTTAAATTCTAGAGCCCCTTTGAAAAATAGTTATTAGGCTTGATTTCATTTATTTGCTGGCTTGGACCAAGTAATGTAGGTTACGTCAGGGTTAAGGATTTGTTTACTGACCCTCATCTGATAGGTAATGTCTCAGAATTTCCTTCATTACTTTCCTTGGTTTATAAGGAAAGTGTTCTTAATATTCTCATTTAATAATACTAAAAAAAAATTGGATTACTGCCAACTTTTGAAAAGCTCAGTCATTATTCTCCTTCCTTCACTTTTGTAACTGATGTGTCATTTTTCATCTCATTCTGGATATAAATCGTAATTTCTTTTGCCTGTGTTTTTTTCTTCACAAGCACGCCTTTCATATAATGATAGAGGTAAGATGCATTGATGTTTGTTTTATGGTTGTGGAATTTTTTGTGGATACTAACATTTTGTTCTTAGATTTATTTTTTCTTTTTGCCTTATTGTGCATCCTTTATAGTTTATAAATTTATGTTACAGAGATTTTTTTTTTCCCCCACCACTTTTAGTTTTAAAAAAATGCTTTGTTTGACATAGTAACAAGTTTTGGTTTTAAATAATTGTTAAACTTATTTATACTTCTCTATGGTAGAATGGAAACCAACTATTTTAGTTGAATAGGATTAAGAAAAAAATGAAAGTACTGAAATTAACACAAAATGACTAGATTCTAAAACCCTCCTAATTGTTATGCCATTAACTTAAGTTTCAACATGTGTGCATTGCAAACTGAGGCTGTCTTTTGATGCAGACCTGTATCTTTTAATGTGAAATTCATATTTCCAGATAGTTTCAATATTGACATCATTAGCAAATAGGCTGTCTAGAAAAGCCTACTCTTTGATGATCTTTTGCTTTTGATGTCTAAAGGATTAGTTAGTTTAGCGCTCACGCTTCAAATAAAGAACCAGAACGAATGCAATGATTACAGACTGCGTCACAGCTCCCGACCTTCAATCATTAATTCCAGTATTGATTGTAGAATGGTACTGAATGACGATGATGGGTGGTGGGCCTTTTCTGATTGTTGTCATTTGTTGTTCCCAATATGATGTCTTCTGGTACCATAATTTTTACACACAAAGGGGTAAATCCAAGATGTAATCAGACCAAATTCTAATGTGTAACTTTTTCTAGCTTTGCAAAGTAGCATGAATATTACAAGAGAAATGCAGGCATAGAGAAAGTTTTCAGTAATTCTGCAGTTTTTATAATTGCTCAGAAAAGTGTTTATTTTAAATTTTTTTATGTAGCAGGACAGAGCAATGTTTTATGTATAATAGAATGTTACTCTCAATTATGAAGTTTTAATTTATCTCCTGAGCATCTGAATATTTAAAGGTATAAACTTTTGTTCCTAGAAACAAGTATGAAGGGTTTTTGTTTTTGTTTTTATGAGGGGTGGATAAATTATTATAATGATGCTAATAAATTGAAAATCATTTATAATACTGCTACATTATAAAGTAAAACTGATAAAGAGATACAGTTAAAGCTTTTTATAAATACAAATACAATGAAGCATTGACAAAATAGAAGACTCTAGTTATTTTTCAGTTTCAAAAGTTAAAAGGTATACTGATTAGTGTTATAGATTTATTTATAATATGTGTTAGAAGTTACTTGTTTTTTACCTAAATTCTTCAAATATTGTAAATAATTTAAAGTTACATTTGAAAAATACCAGTTCTAAAAGTTTTGACACTGTATAGGAGAGTACCTTTTAGATTTTCTTTTTTCTTTAAAAATAGGCCAGTGTTCTCCTTAAGTTTCACACTTATAAATAACTTTGACAGACAGCAGTGTGTTTTCTGACTATTATGATCTAATGGTGAATATAATTAGGGCAATCTAAGATTTTTTTCCGAAATAATAGTAGTATAGAAAACATTTAATGTTCTTTATTTCTAAAAAATAAATGGGAAATTATTGTATGTTTCTTAAATTAGGGTTAATATGTAAAAATTGTATTTTGAGCTGCAGATGCTTCATTTGAGATCTGAATTAAATCATCTGAATCCTGTTTTGTTGATGAAATCATATCCATGTGATTTGTTTTAGTGGTTGACATTCCTTAGGACAGACTAATGTGTATGTACTTCAGCTGCAGAAACACTATCAGCCCTTATATGAATACTTTTTTGTGGACTTGTCTTGAAAATTTGCCCTTTCCAGTTTCTCTAAAAGGGGGAACCATTGCTGTTTACTTACTGAAAGACTTTTCAAGTGATCTTGTTTTCTTAATTTAGCTTAATTTTTCCTTTATGCAGTTAGACAATAATTCTCATACCCTGAAGGCTAAATGGTTTTATTTGCCTGGAGAAGAGTAGTCTTCAGTCTTTTGTTTACTTTACTGTCTATGCATTCATATATGTAATACACTCCTTTCAGTAGAATCTCTCATTACCTATAGTGGTATCAATTGAGGAGTGGAGGAAGGAAAGAATAGTGTTAATGAAACCTCTCCAGAGATTCTTGTGTCCCCTTGCCCTGGTGAGAATCATAATTATAGAAACCATACTTCCTATAAGATTTATCTTTTCTCCTTGACCCGTCAGCCATTCCATTAACCTAAAAGATCTTACTTCTACTTGTCTTTCAAGTGTTAATGCAGGAAAGAAAAACCACTTTTGTGGATATTTTTCATAAATATTTGAGGTTGAAATAAGTCTCAGATAATCTAGGTAATCTTTGTGCTTTAAGATAGGGATTCACAAACCGTTTTATAAAGCCCATCTGCTTTAGTTTAGAAGAAAGTGCATATCTGTCCTAGTTAATACCTCAAAATGTTTGTATTATTGAAGGTCACTTGAATGTAGATGCCCCCTGTTAAACTCCATGAGTGGTGTTAGTGGGCTGGGAGAGGTAGAGCTACATACATTTACAGGAGGCTTAGGTTTCACCCATGTCCTAAGGGCTCTTGGTCTTGCCACAGAAATTTTGGTTCCTCTTCACAATAGTCATTCTGCAGCCCTTGAAACATTTTCATTGCTTTTCTCTGGGTGCTTTCCAGGCTTCTTACAATAGATGTTGCTTAATTTGCAGATACTCAACTAATAGAATGCTTTCAATAAAGGGTGGCCACTTTGTATACTTTGTAGAGGGAGGATTCCCTTGTGATTTTTAAATGTTGTACTCCTAGTTATAGACTATATTTGCTTTATGTATTAGCTATAGTAATAAATTTATTTTTCATGTACCTTGCCTTATTATCTACTATGACAGTATGCTTTCTGGGTAATTATTTGTACTTCCTTGGCAATCAGTCCCAGAACACCGATATATTTTTTCTTTTTTCCAAATCTCAGATCAGTTTTGCCAAGTAATTGTAAGCACAGGTATAAATTGCTAATATGTTGGAAAAATCAAATGAAGCAAACAATTTGACTGTAGTGACACTGACTTCTACAGTTCTTTGATGTGTGCTGTTTGATATATCCATCTGCAATGTGTCAGAATGCCTGTGGATGTTTTTGAGACTAGTAAAGAAAAGATTTTAAATTGGGAAGGGGAAGGTAGCAAGTTTTGAGGAGAGGTTTACTTTGAGACATAGTTTGCTGTTTTTAAAACTTCAAATCTTCATCTTGTAAAGGAGATACACAATGGGTAAAACAATGAAACACTGTGGGTGCTATTCTAAAATACACAAAGAATCTTAGTTGGGAAAAATAATGAGAATAGATGAAAAATATATTAGATCCTCCCCATCCCCTACTATACATATATAGCTATAGTGTGGAATATGATTATGAAAACTCTTTATTCAAGTTGTCTGCATTGTGATCTCTATAGCTGATTAGGAATGCTTGAGAATTTAGTTCTGGCAAGATTGAAGTTAATGTCATCTGTATGTGTTTACTGTTTTTGTCAATTGATTCTTTACATACTCACTTTTCCCCTCATTTTCAAAATTGGTTTGTATCATGTGCTTCTTATTTACAATATTTTTATTGTTTATCTGTAGGATCCAGGACCACCCCCACCTTCTCCATTACTAGGTTTGAAACCACTGCAGTTATTAGAAGTGAAAGCAAGGGGAAGATTTGGTTGTGTCTGGAAAGCCCAGTTGCTCAATGAATATGTGGCTGTCAAAATATTTCCAATACAGGTATGTTTATTGCAGTTCTTTAATCTGTATATATTTTTAAAGATGTAATTGGCTAGGTCAGTGTAACTCCAAACAGTTTGAAAGCTATATGCTTCAAGGTGGGGGACATGGAGGCTCCATAATAAAATTACAGAACTGCGAAACACAAGGTCCCTGGTATGAGCCCTCCAGCTGCTCCACGGGAGAAAGATGAGGCTTTCTGCTCTCGAAGATTTACAGCTTTAAAAACCCTATGGTGGTGGTGGTGGTGGTTATATGCCGTGGAGGTAATTCAGACTCATAGTCAAAACCACATAGTGACCCTCCATAGGGTTTCTGAGGCTTTAAATCTTTATAGGAGCAGAAAGCTTCATCTTTCTCCCATGGAGCTGCTGGTAGTTTGAACTGCTTACCATGAGATTAGCAGCCTGACTCATAACCACTATGCTACCAGAGCTCCTTAGGAACTCCATGCAGATTAATAGCAACAATGTTTCAAGGTGCTTCTGATGATACTGGGAAAAGCAGTTGACCCTTTTACATTTGCCTTCTCATTTGAGAAATGGAATTGAATTATTAGAACATCAATCATTTTTGTTTGGGGTGATGGAATTACAATAAATGAATTAATGGAAGAGATTTACCAATAAAAATTCTACAGAAATACTGAGGTGAAAATTACAATAAATAATTGTCTGAGTGGTGAAATTTTAATGTTCTGTGGACATATCAGAAAAAGCAAATAGAGGAGTGAAAAGAGTAGTAGTGTGCTTGGTTTCAGAATAGTTGTATTGAGGGATGTCGCCAGACTCTGATTCATTTTCATACTCCTTTGAGTGTTTATAGAATCATTTCAGTTTTTGTTTGGTGAGTTTTCAGAGGCAGTAAATCAGGACTCCAAATGATTGGTTTACTATTTAATTAGTTTTCTTTCAAGGGGCTTGGTCTTCTCACGAACTATAGTTTTGATGCACCTCTGATCTATTCTTACGGTTTGCTTTGTTCTGCTAGTTTGCCGGTCCCATGATAATGTCATTCCCTTCATCTTATAGATCCCCACAGTGAATCACATGCGTAGTAGAGACCTTGCTTAGGTCTGGTGATGAACGCTTTCTGCAGTGGATAGGTCTCATCACTACACCTAGGCAGTGGATCTGCTGCATTCCAGAGTTATTAAGTAATTCGTTTCTCTGTCTGAATGTATCTGATTTATAGCCTCCTTGGCTCCTTTAAAGGCTGTCAGAATCTGTGGGAAAGTTTGTTCCTTTTTATTTTTGTTAGCAATGTAGATACTGTAAACTATAGTTTTCAGAAGAAGAGTGTATTCTGTTGTTCCATGATATATAAAATTAAGATCAGGTCAGAAGTTATTTATACTGTATGAGGAAGATTAAAATTAAGGGAAGATTTTTGGATGATACTAACTTTAGGAATAACAGCAATAACAGACAAACATTTTAACACATTTTTCTGTGTCTCAGGTTCATGTGCTGTATATATGTTGTTAAGTGCCTTTGAGTCAGTTCTGACTCATAGCGACCCTGTGTAGAGTTTCTGAGGAGTGACTGGGGGGCTTTGAATTGCTGTCCTTGCACTTAGCAGTCTAGTGCTTATCCTACAGCACCACACCAGGACTCCTTACATATGCTAGAGAGAACTAACACGTGTGTAGGTATTATTGCTCACATACATATATGTTGTTAAGTGCCATGGAGTCGGTTCTGAGTCAAAGCAACCCTGTGTGAAGAGCAGCTGTGATGGGTTTGAACTGCTGGCCTTGTGGTTAGCAGTCCAGTGCTGATCCTACAGTGCCACACCAGGAGTCCATAGAATGCAACAATCATATTAGGCAGATGTCATTACCCTCATTTTACTAATGTGGAAACTAAATGACCGTGTAATTTAAGCCAAGGTTAGTGGGAGAGCCAGGATTCAGACTTAATATAGCTTTTATCCAGAAAGTTCCTAAATATTGTCCTGTGGTGTCTCTCATTATGCTTTTCATAGTAAAATAATTTTTTATAAATGGATGTGTATTAGACATGGATCACTTATAAAGACAACTGAGTATATGGCATGTTTTTATGATTGTATTACATATTTATGTTCCAATGAACTTTCAAGGAGTTCTAAAAATTTTCTAAAGAAAGTGATTTTTATCGGCCACTGAAAAAATTAGTTTTCTATTTAGATTAAGAGATTCTACCTAAATTTCCTCTTTCAGGCACATTATTTTGAATAGGAGTAGCAAGTTACTCACACAATGGTGAAATTGCACTGTAATGCTGACTTGTAAGCAGAAGCATGACATTTCTGATCAACTCTGTGTGGACAAATAAATACAGAGAATTATATTTTGAGGGAATGGACAGGGAAGGCATTTTTAGTATGAACTTGTTACCGATTTTCAGCGTTTTATCTTATTAAAACACAAGACAAAGCAAAACAAAAGAGGATGGGAGTGGAGGGGAGTAATTAACTAACTAAAGAGTAGACATGGGTTAACTTGGATGAAGAGGAAGGCAATAAACAATAAGAGAGAGGTTGGCAGAAGAATGGTGAAGGCATGGGAAAACAAGGGGGAATGCAAGAGATAAAGGCAACAGAGATAAATACTGTTATATACACAATCCAATAACAGTGTTCTATGCAGGTGGAATGGGTGTGGGAGTACACCCACAAATACATACAGGTTTGCCAGAAGATGTCTGTACGTGGTATTTACCTTTGCTGAAAACATATCCATGAATATGGTAGATCACAGAGGTGGCAAAGTTAAGAAAACTAAACACACCAAACACATCCAGGGAATGAGTCACTGGGCCTGGGGGGTCCAGGACCATAGTCTCAGGGGATACCATGATCAATTGGCATATCAGAGTCCAAAAAGACAGTGTTCTTCATCCTACTTTGGTGAGTAGCGACTGGCATCTTATGTCTTGAGTGACCATCTAAGGTGCAACTATTGATCTCTCCTTGTCTGAAGGAAAGAAGAGTAATGAAAACTGAGGACACTTGAAAACAGTTACTACAATAGACTATTGGACCATGTGAGCATTAATCTTCATTACACTGAGACCAAAAGAAGTGGATGGTGCTTGACTACTCCTAACAGCTGCTCTGAAAGGGATCCCATTAGAAGGTCTTGGGTAGAGTGGGAGGAAATGTAGAAAACAAAATGTGAAATCATAAAATGTCAGATAGAGACTAGTAGAACCCAAGACTCTGACCTTTGATAACTCTTCAGATCTAGAGCTGAACTCACCACTGTGACTCAATTTTCAGTCAAGCAGTTGTTGTTAAGTGCTGTCAAGTCACTTCCGACTCATAAAGACCCTGTATTAGGTTTCCAAGGAGCTGCTGGTGAATTTGAACCACTGATCGTGCATTTCCTTGCAAGTCCACTGCATTAACCCACAGCGTCACACCAGGACTCCAGCCAAGCAGTAGATAATATAATAGAGGAAACAACAACACTAATGAGGTACACTCACCATAAAAGGGTGAAGATCAAAAGAATAGCATTTACCCAAGGACAAAATTCAGAACGATTCAAAAAGAAATGGAAAGAAACTGCACAGGGAAGAAGTGTGGTATAAGTAATGTTTTCCGTGAGAGGAAATGAAATGTATGATTTGTTGAATGTAAAACTGATGATCTGCTCTTTAAACTTTCCCTCAATTCACAATAATTTTTTTTTTTTTTTTTAGCAAAGAAACTTTTAAAACTTTGTCTTTAAATTAAAAAAAAAAAAAGTTTCATTGTGAATTATGTGATAATTTACATGGGAGAACATCAGCTTTACATTCATCCTATCATATATCGTTTCATTGCCATGGTTACAGTCCCCTCCATGCATCATCAACCAACCAAAGGGTATACCCTGCAAACCTGCCCCCCCACCCCCACCCCCCGGTCATCAGCACACAGCCCCTTTCCGTCTCTAGGTCTAAAGTCCGCAGCTGCTCCATCTCTCCATGTCATGATCTCTGCCTCCATCTCAGGCATCGCTGCTTCTCTGGGTAGGGTCTCGCTCTCCGCTCTTCTCACTTGATGATCCCAGGGACCTCTGCTCCTAGACTGCAAAGTCAGTCACTCCCCTTCTTTTGCTACAAAATGTCTACCTTTACATTTCCAACCCTCACAGTCAGTCCTGATAACAATAATTCACTATTGTGCCACAAGAGACCTATCCCCATCTCCTTTCATCAGCCCTGCCCAGACAGATTGGATACTACTCAGTGAAGATTCTACCTTCCTCCATGCCCTCTGGATCTAGATTCCCTCTTGAAAGCTTGTAAGCCAGGCACTTCTTGCCTTTGTAGCCCCCCCATTTTGGATAGCCAGTGTCCAAATTTCCCATCCCTGTCTACTCTGTGTATGGAGGGGGTGGGGATGATCCTCGCTGTAAAGATTTGTTTCCTCTTTTGAGCTACTGAATCCATAGGTGTAGGTCAAGTTCATCAAATTGTATCAGATTACTCTTTTTTTCCTCTTCTTTCTTCTTCTAGTTGAGCTCTGATCCTCTAGCTGTTGAAGCCAGGTCAATATCTTTTAAATTTTTGTGTTAGAACATATTTGAGTAAATGCTTAGTTGTTGCTTATTTATCTGTGTTTTTTGTGTTCTTTTTTATTTTTCCCTATCTCTAGGACAAACAATCATGGCAAAACGAGTATGAGGTCTATAGTTTGCCTGGAATGAAGCATGAGAATATATTACAGTTTATTGGTGCTGAGAAACGAGGCACCAGTGTCGATGTAGATCTTTGGTTAATCACAGCATTTCATGAAAAGGTAAAATTGCTTTCTGGTTTCTCCTTGAGTAAAATGAAGTTTGATCTACTTACCTGATGTTGACAACAGATCCCTCAGATGTATTTTTCTGGAGACAGTGGGTTGTTCTAGTTGATTATTATGTCACCCGAAAATACAACTCACTCTTAAATAAAAATCTGTATAAAAATATAGTTCATTAAAAGAGCCAAGATGGTAACTTTTTCACCTAACCTTGTACTCCTAATCAGTCTTTCCTGTTGATCATGTTTGCCTTTGCTGTAGTTATCTCTAAGTGATACAAATGCTTACTTGAATATAACCAATTCTTAGTAATTTTCATTCCTCATTTAAGATCCATTTGACTGCATCAACTATTTTTCAGTTTTAAGTTTTTGTCATAAAACTCCTTAATCAGGCTAGTTGAGTAACAAAGCCAGAGTCAGGAACTTTATCTGATATTAGATCTGTCACTAACTTGCAGGTAATTTTCACCAAAACACACTTGCCTCAGTCTCAATAGCTACAGAGTTTTGAAAGTATGTTAATGAAGTTGGAAATTGTGTTCTCTTTGGTAGTAGGTGTCTTCATTGTCATGTGTAAGTGGCTTTTTTACTTTTCTGCATGTTGTTGTTGTTAAGTGCTGTCGAGTCGCTTCAGATTCATAGCAACCCCTATAGGGTTTCTGAGGAGCCGTTGGAGGGTTTGAACTGCTGACCTTGTGGCCACAGTCCAGTGCTGATCCTACAGCACCATACCAAGAGTAGACTTTCTGAATTGACCAAAAAGATGGCAGTCATCTCTGGAGAAAGCATTTTTTTCTATTTGTTGTTGTCTACAAGTCTTAATTTTGTCTTAGTGCTGTATACTAGAATCAGTATTTTTTAACTTTTAAATATTTTCTAAGCTTTAGCTTTTTAACTAGTCTTTTAAAAAAATATTTATTTTCTAAATAGGGGAATTTGACCAACTGTCTATACAAACCTTTAAAGATTCATGGTCCTCTTTTTTCTGGTGAAATGTTTATTATTGGTAAATTAGAAGGAGGAACTTGGAAGTATTTCAGAAAGATTGCTTTTTAGATATCTTACTTTAAAAGGAAGATATGTTGTCTTCTATAATTTTTTAAATTCAAAAAGAAATTCTCCATATACAGGTGGCTTTTGTCAAGAGCATAAGTTTGTTTGTTTGTTTTCCCCTTTAGGGTTCACTCTCTGACTTTCTTAAGGCTAATGTGGTCTCTTGGAATGAATTGTGTCATATTGCAGAAACGATGGCTAGAGGATTGGCATATTTACATGAGGATATACCTGGCCTAAAAGATGGCCACAAACCTGCCATATCTCACAGGTAGAACTAAATTTATATTGTTTCCCCAAATAACTCAGTGTTTGTGTATTGTTGAAATTTGAATCCTCTGGATAAAATTTATTTTTCCCCTAGATGTGTGACCACGCTATGAGAGGCAGTTGATTTCCTTTTGTTTTTAAGATCTGTTCTGATACTGACCAAGAAGTGTTTTGGATAATGTATGTCCATATTAACATTATCAGTTGTTGTTGTTGTTAAGTGCCATTAAGTCGGTTCTGACTCATAGCAACGTATCATTCACCTTATGCTTTAATTTATCTCATTTCTGAAAGCATGGTCAAGAATGAACATATTTTTTTCTCTAACTCGAGGGAGAGAGAAATTTGTTTTACCTTAAGATGATTATAAGTAGTTATGAGGGGATGTAACTAAGAAATGACTTAAATTTTTTTGCTTATGTTTTAAATAAACCATATGCCCATTACCTGACCTATATGGCATCATTTGAATAATTTAGTTTACTTAATGAATTGCTTTTGCCAGTGAAGAAATAGTGTTTAAAACCAACAGTTGTTCAAATGGGATGTAATTTGTCATATGTATTTAACTTCCTTGAGCATGGGAATCAGTAATTTAAAAAGTTGTTTTTAAATTAGGTATGAAATACCGACTCATGCAACAAATATTTGGGTCCGTAAGGTAGCAGTTAGATTGTTGGGAGCACATCTTTTAAGATAGGAGTCCTGGTGTGGCGCTGTGGGCTAATGTGCCAGACTGCATAGCCATTTGAACTACAGGGTCAGTGGTTCAAGCTCACCAGCTGGTCCTCGGAAACCCTATACAGGGGGTCACTATGGGTGAAACCGACTGGATGGCACTTAACAACAACAACAACAACAACAACAATTCTGGAGTCCTGGTGTGGTGCTGTGGGTTAATGCACTGGATTGCAAAGTCACTTGAATCAGAAGGTTGGTGACTCAAGCTCACCAGCCGCTCCTCAAAAACCCTATACAGAGTCACTATGGGTTGGAACCAACTCGACAGCACCTAACAACAACAACAACGATTCTATTTTTGCAAGTCTTACATTGTTTTTAACCTCAGAAATAGCTCCTCTATCTTTTAATCTTCATACACAGATTTGTACTGCCTCTTTCTGGATTTTTGCTAGCTTCACCTTGCATAATCCTCTGGAGTCCCCAAAAGAGTCTCTGAAAATCTTTTTAAGTCTAAAAGTGATTGGTTTTTGTAGCACTGTGTCTACCTGTTAATTTGTCATATTGTGGTAGCGTGGGTGTTGGCATGATGCTGGAAGCTATGCCACAGATATTTCAAATACGCATAATCATCCATGATGAACAGGTTTTATTTAGCAGAACTTCCAGACTAACATTACAAAGAAGAACCTGGTGATCTGCTTTGAGAAAATTAGCCAGTGAAAACATTATAAATAGCAGTGAAACATTGTTTGGAGGAGGAGCCTCTCAGGTTGAAAGGCACTTACGATATGACTGGCAAAGACCTGACTCCTCAAAGTAGAGTTTACCTTAATGAAGTGGATGGAGTAGAATCTTTCTGGACCTTCATTTGTTATGGGACACAACCCAAAATGAGAATAAATAGCTGCAAACATCCATTAATAATCCAAACCTGGAATACATGAAGTATGAAGCTAGGAAAATTGGAAGTAATCAAAAATGAAATGAAACGCATAAAAATTGACATCCTAGGCCTTAGTGAGCTGAAATGGACTGGTGTCAGCCAGTTAGTTACTGAAATGGTCTCCTTTGGCACAAATGACAAATTGAAGAGAAATGGTGTGACTTTCATTTGTCCAAAGGAGCACCTCAGACCCATCTTTGAAGTGTAGTGCTAGGAATGATAGACTAACATCCACATGCCTAAAAGGAAGACCAGTTAATGCCATTAATATTCAGATCTACTCTCCAGTCATTAAAGTCAGTGATGAAGAGTTGACGAATTTTACCAACTTCTTCAGTCTGAAATTGATCAAGCATGCAAGCAAGATGTATTGATTGTTATTGGTAATTAGAACAGGAAAGTTGAAAACAAAAAGGGAATTGGAAAATACAGCCTTGGTGATAGAAACAAAATTGGAGATTGCATGATAGAATTTTGCAAGACCAGTGACTTCTTTAGTGCAAATTATGTTTTCATTAACATAAAACAGCAACTATAAACTTTAATCTCACCAGATGGAATACATAGGAATAAAATTGACTTCATCTGTGAAAAGATGATGGAGAAGTAGCATCATCAGAACAAGGCTAGGGGTTGATTGTGGAATAGACTCATCAGTTGCTTGTATGTAAGTACAAGGTGAAACTAAAGAAAATTAAAACAAGTCCACGAGAGCCAAAGTGTACAACCTTGAGTATATTCTGAATTTAGATACCATCTCTAGAATAGATTTGACACATTAAACACTAATGACTGAAAAGACCAGACAAATTATGAGATAACAAAAAGGGCATTGTACACGAAGAAAAGAAACAAAAGGTCATTAAAAAGACAGGAAAGAAAGAAAAGACCAAAATGGACTTCAGAAGAGACACTGAAAGTTGCTGTTGAACATAGAGTAGTTAAAACAAAAGGAAGAAATGATGAAGTAAAAGAGCTGAACAGAAGACTTCAAAGGTAGCTTGAGAACACAAGGTGAAGTATGCAATGAAATGTGCAAAGATCTGAACTTGTAAAATCAAAAGGGAAGAACATGCTTGGCATTTCTCAGGCTGAAAGAGTGGGAGAAAAAATTCACACCTCAATTTGTGATACTGAGGAATTCTATGGGCAAAATATTGGATGATGCAGAAAATATCAAAGATGGGATGGGAATACACAGTCACTGTATTAAAAAGAATTGGTCAAGGTTCAGCCAGTTTTAGGAGGTAACATATGACCAAGAATCGATGGTCTGAAAGAAAAAAATTCAGGCTGCACTGAAGATGTGTGAAAAAAACAAAGGCTTTAGAAATTGACAGAATACCAATAGAAATATTTCAACAAATACTTGCAACACTGGGAGCACTTACTTGTCTATGCCAAGATATTTGGAAGACCTGGCTGGCAGGCTAGAAGAGATCCACAGTTGTGCCTATTCCAAAGAAAGGTACTCCAACAGAATACAGAAATTATGGAACAATGTCATTATTATCATAAGCAAGTAAAATTTTGTTGGGACAATTTGAAAACTGTTGTAGCATTACATTGACATAGAACTGCCAGAAACTCAATCTGGATTAAGAAGAGGATATGGAATGAGGGATATCATTGTCAATGTCAGATAGATCTTAACTAAAAGTGGAGAATGCCAGAAAGATGTTTACCTGTGTTTTATTGACTATGCAGAATTTGGTGGGTCAAAACAATTTATGGATAACATTGCACATAATGGGAATGTGGGAACCCTTAATTGTGCTCATGGAGAACCTGTACATAGATCATGAGGCAGTCATTTGAACAGTACATAGGGATTCTGTTTAGTTTAAAATCAGGAAAGGTTGTATCAGGGCTATATCCTTTAAGTATATTTACTCAATCTGTATGCTGAGGAAATAATTCCATAATCTGGACTACATGAAGAAAGACACAACATTGGAATTGGAGGAAGATTTCATTAACAACCTGCAACATGCAGATAAGATAACACAACCTTGCTGAATGGAAAGAGGACTTGAATCACTGGTGAAGATCAAAGACTACAGCCTTCAGTATGGATTACACCTCAACATAAAGAAAACAAAAATCCTCACCATTGGACCAATAAGCAAAATCATGATAAATGGAGAAAACATTTAAATTGTCAAGGATTTCTTTTTACTTGGAACCACAATTAATACCCATGGAAGCAGCAGTCAAGAAACAATGTACTGCATTGGTAAATCTAACACAAAAAAAGTCTCTTTAAAGTATTAAGGTACAAAGATGTCACTTTGAGTACTAAAGTCGGTCTGACCCAAGGCCATGATGTTTTTAGTTACCTCATATACATGGGAATGCTAGGCAGTGAGTATGGAATACTGAAGAAAAGAATTGATGCCCTTGAATTATAGTGTTGATGAAGAATATTAAATATTCTGTGGACTACCAGAAGAAAGAACAAATCTATCTTGGAAGAAGTACATCAGAATACTCCATAGAAGTTAGAGTGAGGAGACTTCTTCTCTAATACTTGAGGCATGTTGTCAGGAGACCAGTCCTGACATCATGCTTGATAAAATAGAGGTTCAGCAAAAAAGAGATGGAATGACAAGGCAACAGTTGTGGGGATGGCGCCGGACAGGGCAGTGTTCTGCTGTATGTGGGGTTGCTATGAGTTGGTTATGATTCTTGGTGCCACTTAACAACAGCGTATTCCTCATTTATCCTACTCTTTATCTATATCCTTGTACATATATTTAAACTGCTGCCGTGGCTCAGATGTATCTAGTTAGGGTATGGTAATCTCTAGCATGAACCAGTTGAGGAAAGTACATAGTGAAAGATATCTGATTGCATTAATACTGTTTCCCTTTTTAGAACTCCAGACTAACTGGGACGTGTATGGTTTTTTTGTTTTTTTTTTAATTTAAGGTTTTTATTGTGGATTGAGTGAAAGTTTACAGGGCACATCACCAGTTTCACATTCAACCATTCGTATAACTTGTTGCATTACATTGATTATAATCCCCTCCATGAGTTAGAAGTATTTCTCTCTATCCACTTTAGGTTTTTAAAAAACACACAAAAAACCCCACTCAGGCGTATATAATAATTTACATCTCCAAAGGGCACATTCTGCAAGTCTGCTCCTGGCCACCAGTTCTTAGTCCTTCTCCTCTTAGTTGATGAATCTAGAGTCCTCAGCCGCACCCCCTTTCCATGCCCCCATCTCTGCCTCCATCTCTGGCGCTGCTGCTTCTCTGGATAAGGTCCAGTTTTTTGATTGTGCGTTCCTCTCTTGATGGTCCTAGGGTCCTCTTATTTCTGGACTGTAAGATTAACCACTCCGCTTTTTTTGTTCCAAAACTTCTACC